CAAAAAAAAAAAAAAAAAAACAATGGTTTTCGAACAGCAAGAAGAACAAAGATACTGAGTGACCCTAATACAGAGCCAACAAACATAACAAAATATGAAAAGCCAACAACTAACACAGAGCCGCAGAAAGTAGAGACTTTGAGAGACAAACTTTAGTTGCATATATCTCAAGGCCACGCATTTTTATGAAAGATGAGAAATTGTCTTTATTTTCAGATTTGTCTTCTAAGAAAACAAGTGTTTGCGACTCATCAAACAATTTTTTCCAGAATTATAAATTTCATCCTGAAAAAAGATTACAAAGAATCCTTTCTATAGCTTCATCAGAGGATCTATCGATTATCAGTGATAATAGTTAGTCATGAAGTAGATGAGTTTTCTCCTCTTTTAAAAGAAATTCATATTATTACATGGCAATTTTAACATAAAAGAAGACATCAGAATGTTATTTCCAGATTCCTCTTCTCCAAGTGTCTTAAATACGGAAGTTGATTTAATTGTCGAGTCCAATCAGTCTTCTCCTCTTTTTTTCTGGAAATTGTGTAACTGATTTAATTGTTGAGTCCAATCAGTCTTCTCATCTTCCTTCTGGAAATTTTGTAACAGATTTTTTTTTTAGATACCGCTTGTGCCTATTAAATCAAATATTGATCCTTCAGTATCCAAATTCTTACAAGAAAAGGAATAGAAAAGTTGATCCTAGTCCTCTTATTACACGAAGAAGAAGCTCAGGAAGTTATTTCTTTTCAACCATTAAATCCTTACTAGGAATATCAGGGGGCTGTGTGACAATTCAATTTGTAATGTAAGTCCAGATATAATTCTGCTTCAGGAAAAAAAAAAATTGGAATCAAGGATCGTAAGCTGATTAAATCAATTTGGAGTTCAAGGGACAGTGCTTATGATAATTCAATTGGAAGATCAGGAAGAATGCGAACTTTATGGGATGAAAGTGCAATTTCAGCAATGGAGTTAATCGAGGACACACTTTTCAATTGGACTTTCTTTAGCAGACTCTTTAAGGAATTTTGGGTCTATGATCCAACCGATTACAGAGAAAGAAAATACTTACGGCAAGAACTTAGATCTTTCTCTGCCTACATTGCTTTCCCATGGTGTTTGGGGGGAGGATGGGGCTTTAATATAGTCAGATGGACTCGTGAAAGATCTTTTGTGAATAGAACAAAAGGCATAGCATGTGGTTATCTAATCGTGTAATAGAAGAGCTAAATTGGATGGAGCTCTCTCTTCCAAAGTGGCGGTTTACTTGGTCAAGGGGCTCTAGAACCCCTTCATACTCATTCTTAACTTCTTTACGTTAAATGAATGGCATATGCTTTATGTGAAATCAAGGGTTTCTAGAAAGGCAAGGGTTACTTTGGAACATTATCTTTTACTGATGGAATCCGAGGAATTTCTCATGGGATCCTTCTCCCTTCCGAATTTGTTGCAGCAAGACTACTTTAATGGGTGGGTAGGTTTCTCAATTCTTAAGAAGTTCAGAATTCTGAACGATCTAATAAAATCTTGGCACAAAAATAATTTTTCTAGGCAAGAAATTTTAAGATGATTATATTTCTCAAATATCTGTTCTTGATTGTAAAGCAGAATCTATGCCTTCTGTACAAAAGAAGTGGCAAGAAGGCGCTCTCTCAAGGTGATCTATTGAAAGTGCGGATCAGCTAACTCTTCTGGAGGAAAGTATAACAAAGACATAAGGGCTTGAAACTCAGAAAAGCAGCTTTAACCCTGAGAAAATGAGGCCAAAAAATATATTTCTCAATACTCTTCTAGCATTGAAGGAGTTATTAGACTGGGAAAGCCCTTTGAAGCCTTCCAAGCCCCTCTAAAGTGCCAAGGAAGAATCTTCAATGGGATCGTAAATATCTATTGGGTTTTCCACAACAACAACATGTGCAACACACTTCTTGTGCTCATTGGCCCTTGCATGCCTTCAAGGCCTTCGCTATTATGGGTTAATGTGGTTATAGCTATCATTTCAGAATTTGGTGGAGAATTTTTGCCAGTAAGCAAAGAGGTTGGTCGGTTTGTTTTGTTGTGGCTAACTAAAGGCTTTTTTTTGGTGCTCAGTGACACAATCGCACTTTCGAAGGCAGTGGACTAGCGATTGTGCGGCACTCACTTTCCAGCGACAAGTGAGTTAAATCAATTTGTTCTTGCGTCGCCTACGGCCAAGCGACGTACGGTCGAGCCTCTAGCCTCGGTTTTAAAAGAAGGTTTTAGAAAACGAGGAGAGAGAGATTTTAGAAAGAGAGATTTAGAAAGAGACGTTATATAAGCAAGCAAGAGAAAGATAACAACGACTTAGCATATATAACCTTGGGTAGGGAGAAGTTGACGACTAGTCATATCCCCCTATAGTACATTCTGGGCCATTTTAGTTCTGGCAGTCCTAGACATGATATTTTTGAGGCGTCATACGCCCTAGCATTACAAAAGGAAAAGCACTAGAATGAAAAGACATGACAAGGGTTTGGCTTGTCATGGGCATGCGGCCATGGGCAACATGCCCTGGACGAGCATGACCGTGACATCCTCCCCCACCTAATTGGTTGACGTCCTTGTCAACTGACTACTTTCATACCTTGCGATGTGGGTGGCGGCAGAGTTCAGATCTTCGGCGCGTTCCCAGCTTATTTCCTCTGTAAGGAGATTCTTCCATTTGACAAGGAATTCACGAATCGTCCGTACAGGTCTTCCTATCTTCCTAACCCTGTCGGCTAAGATCTCTTCCACTTCCTTTGTTTCTTTTTGCTTCAGATCGATGTTCGGTCTTGTGGTTGCATTTCGTTGGTCGTCGTCTGGATCAGGGTGATAGGGCTTCAAGTTGCTCACGTGAATGACGGGGTGGATTTTCATCCATGCGGGTAGTGCAACTCGATAGGAGGTAGCCCCGATCTTTTTAAGGACTTCAACCGGGCCTTCATATTTACGGACTAGTCTCTGGTCCTTTCGGCTACGAAATCTGATCTGTTCTGGTCTCAGCTTGATGAGGACTTGATCTCCTGCTCGGAATTGAAGGGGGCGACGCTTCTTGTCCGCCCATTTCTTCATATGCTTGGAAGCTTTCTCTAAGTATGCCCGGGCTATATCTGTCGTCTGCTTCCATTCTCTTGTAAAGTTGTGAGCTTGAGGGTTTTTTCCTACCTAAGGATGATCAATAATATGGGGTAAGGCCGGTTGTCGTCCACTTACAATTTCGAAGGGACTCTTCCCTGTAGACGAGCTTGTTTGACAATTGAAGCAAAATTGGGCGACATCTAACAATTGTATCCAGTTCTTTTGGCGAGCGTCGACGAAGTGACGTAAGTATTCTTCGAGCAAGCAATTGAACCGTTCTGTCTGTCCATCGGTTTGAGGGTGATAACTCGAGGAGATGTTTAAGGTTGTTCCCAAGAAAGCGAATAACTCAGTCCAGAATGTCCTAATGAATCTGCCATCCCTATCACTGATGATGCTCGACGGAATGCCCCATAGCTTTACAACGTGTTTGAAAAACAGTTGGGCTGTGAGTTCCGCCGAGCATAATTTGGGAGTGGGGATGAATGTCGCATATTTTGAGAACCGGTCTACAATAACCAAGATGGCGTCATATTCCCCGACCTTTGGGAGGTGTGTTATGAAGTCCAGAGATACACTTTCCCAGGGTCTTGTTGGCACAGGTAGAGGTTCCAAGAGTCCAGCGACCTTGGCTTTCTCGACCTTATCCTGTTGGCAGATGAGGCACGTCTTGGTGTATTGCATGATGTCGTCTCGCATGTTTGGCCAAAAGTACCCCTTCTTTATTAGGGCGTATGTTCTTTGCCACCCAGGGTGTCCGGCCCATAAGGTATCATGACATTCCAGAATGAGCTTCTTCCTCAGTTCCCCCGTTCTTGGGACGTACAATCTGTTTCCTTTGGTTATCAGGAGGTCCCCCTCAACCCAAAACTGTCGTGTTTTTCCAGCTTTAGCTAGTTCGACGACAGCTTTGGCCGATGGGTCTCTGTGTGAATGTTCCTTGATGATGTCGCGCATCGATCCGTTGATCTTACTTGAATGAATATGGGCTAACATGCACAGGGCCGCATGTTCGCCCTTCCTACTCAGCGCGTCGGCTGCTTGATTACTCTTTCCTGCTTTGTGTTCGAACTTGAAGTCGAATTCAGCCAACGACTCCTGCCACCGGGCTTGTTTTGCTGTTAATTTTGGTTGATCAAAGAAGTGGCAAGTGGTGCTGTTATCCGTCTTCACTACGAACTGTGATCCTAAGAGATATTGTCTCCAAACTCGAAGGCAGTGGACTACGGCCAGCATTTCTTTCTCGGAGACAGTGTATCTTCGTTCGGCATCGTTGAGCTTTCGACTTTCGTAAGCGATGGGGTGACCTTCTTGAATAAGGACCCCACCTAGAGCAAAGTCGGAAGCATCGGTTTCTACTTCAAATGGCTTTGTGACATCTACCAACCCGAGGACAAGACCCCTCATCATGGTTGTTTTCAGATTCTCAAAGGCCATTTGACAATCATTCGACCACGACCAAGGGTGGTCTTTCTTCAACAGCTCTGTCAATGGGGCGGCTCGTCGTGAAAACCCTTCGACGAACCGCCTATAGTAGTTGGTTAGTCCTAAGAAAAACCGCAATTCAGATACGGAAGTAGGAACTTTCCATTCTTGGATAGCTTTTATCTTGTCGCTATCCATACTAATTTGTCCACATCTGACGACATGTCCAAGGAAGTTGATGCATGTTTGTGCGAATGCACATTTCTCCTTCTTCACATACAGCTGGTTCTGCCGGAGCTTGTCAAACACTAGCTTCAAGTGCACTTTGTGTTCCTCGAGGGTTGTGCTGTAAACAACGATGTCGTCGAGGTACACTATGACGAACTGATCCAGGTATTCGTAGAAAACCTGGTTCATCAACGTGCAGAACGTAGCTGGGGCATTTGTCAAGCCAAAGGGCATTACTAGGAATTCAAAGGCCCCATATCTTGTTACGCACGTCGTCTTAGGTTCGTCCCCTTCGGCAATACGTACTTGATAATATCCTGACCGTAAGTCCAACTTCGTGAAGTACTTGGCCCCGTGAAGTTGGTCGAACAAGTCGAATATTATCGGCAGAAGATATTTGTTGCGTACCGTCACCTTGTTTAAGGCTCTATAGTCTATGCACAGACGCAACGTCCCATCCTTCTTCTTCTGGAACAGTACGGGGGCTCCATAAGGTGCCTTTGTCGGGCGAATGAATCCCGCCTTCAGCAACTCGTCCAGTTGTTTCCTCAATTCGGCTAGCTCGGGCGGAGCCATCCGGTATGCGTTCTTCGCTGGCGGCTTAACCCCGGGGAGGAGTTCGATTTCATGGTCAATGCCTCGACGAGGTGGTAGTGTTTGGGGTAGACTCTTTGGCATTATGTCGGTATAGCTGTCAAGTACTTCCTTGATTTCCTCTGGGACAGTCTCTTCGGTGGTTGCTTCTTCTATCAGTGGTATGGCCATGAATGTAGGTTCCTCTCGTGCGAGTCCCCTTTTCAGCTGTATGGCCGAGATCATTCAAAGATTACCTAGTTGCTTGATGCTTGCAGGTATTACTGTGGGGTTGCGGTCGGTGATCACCAAGCACTTTGCCAATGGCATTGGGATGACCTTGTGTTCTAGGATGAACTCCATCCCAAGTACCACGTCAAAGTCGTCCATGCGAACCACGACAAGGTCTAGCTCTCCAGTCCAATCCCCTATTTTGAAGGGGACTCCTTTGGAAACTCCCACAATAGGCAAGGCCTCGGAGTTGACAGCTTTCATTTTCCCCGGGTCTTTTCCTATGGTGAGTCCCAATCTTCTGGCTTCTTGATCGGCAATGAAGTTGTGGGTTGCTCCTGAGTCTATCAGAGTGCTCTTGCTCGGTCGAGAGTTTATTGTGGCGTCTACGAACATGAGCCCTTTCTCTATTATCTCCTTCGGTTCGACTTTCCGTTGGAGGGCTGACAAGAATTTGAGTGCGCCCATTCGGGTATTATCGTGATCTTCCTTCTTGTCTAGCAAAGTCTCGACCCTTGCCTCATTGTTCTCTTGAATGGACACTTGGAGTGCAGTGAAAGAGGCCCGATGAGGACAGTAGGATACCTTGTGGGGGCCTTTACACAGCATGCATTGCAAAGGCGTCGTCGGGTGGTTCTTTTGATGGTAAGGCCCTCGAGATGTCCCCGCTTGATTGTTCTGAGGAGGTCTATCCGTCCATCCGCTCGGTCTATTGGGGCTTCCATTTCGATGGCCTGGTGGTCTGTATGTTTTGCCCCCATTGTTTGGGGCTGGTGTCGCTCTTCTTTGGGATCCTGCTTCGTTCCCACAGTCTACGAGTCTCTCGACGCAGGCCATTGCGGCAGCTAGGGTTTGGACCCTGTTCTCATATATCTTTGTTTTGGCCCATGGCTGTAGACCATTTATAAAGAAGAACACCTTGTCCTTCTCTGTTGTGCCCCTGATATCCAGCATCAGGGTTGAGAACTGTCTGACGTAGTCCCGTATGTTTCCAGTGTGTTTCAGGGCTACTATTTTCTCCATTGTTATATGCCCTGCGTTTTCGGGGAGGAATTGTTCCCTCAACTCTCTCTTGAGGTCCTCCCATGAGTCGATGGTGCACAATCCATCCTCGATGTCTTGCACCTTCGTACGCCACCACAGTTTGGCGTCGTCTATGAGATACATCGCGGCTACAGTCACCTTCTTGTCGTCGGTACAAGCCGTTGTGGCTTTGAAGTACTGTTCGACGTCGAAGATGAAGTTCTCCAACTCTTTGGCGTCCCGATTCCCTTTGAAGGCTCTAGGGTCTGGGAACCTTAGTTTGTTGGATCCTGCATTAGTTTGTCCAGCCGTGACGCCGTCCACGGCTTTCATGGTAACTTTAATTCGAGTGCTCATGGCGGCCATCCTTTCTTGGAGGTCGTCGACTGTTGTTCTGAATTCATCAGTCAATCCATTGAACAAACTCATCATTGTATTTTGTAGTACGTCAAACTCTTCGCCACGTCCCTCTTTGTGCGCGACAGAGCTATCCGGACTACTAGATGGTTTTGGGCTGCTCGTAGGAGCAACTCTTTCTTCGAGCGAGGTCACTCGAAACATCAGTTCTGCGATTGGCAACCCATCCAGGCGGTTGCCCATTGCATCGACTTGGACGACTTTCTCACTCAGTTCAGTCACCCGTGTTTCCAAGAAACGGAGGGTGTCAGGGACTTCTTTGAGGAATAGCATTTCCTCCTCTATTAGCGTAAGCCGGTCGGCTTGTGCTTTGGGTGTCGACTTTGTCGTCGACATGATCTCGATCTGTATGACGTTACGGAGCTAACAAAGCTCTGATACCACTTGACACAATCGCACTTTCGAAGGTAGCGGACTAGCGATTGTGCGACACTCACTTTCCAGCGACAAGTGAGTTAAGCCAATTTGTTCTTGCGTCGCCTACGGCCAAGCGACGTACGGTCGAGCCTCTAGCCTCGCTTTTAAAAGAAGGTTTTAGAAAACGAGGAGAGAGAGATTTTAGAAAGAGAGATTTAGAAAGAGACGTTATATAAGCAAGCAAGAGAAAGATAACAACGGCTTAGCATATATAACCTTGGGTAGGGAGAAGTTGACGACTAGTCATATCCCCCTATAGTACATTCTGGGCTATTTTAGTTCTGGCAGGCCTAGACATGATATTTTTTAGGCGTCATACGCCCTAGCATTACAAAAGAAAAAGCACTAGAATGAAAAGACATGACAAGGGTTTGGCTTGTCATGGGCATGTGGCCATGGGCAACATGCCCTGGACGAGCATGACCGTGACACTCAGCTACCAAAGCTTTCTAATAGTTCTCTCTGCAGGGTATTTATATCAACTGGGAAGCTTTTATTTCTCCTTAATTCTACCTTTTATTTTCATGTTTGTTCCTGTTTTTCCATCCCTTTTGCTCAGGGTCTCGACCAACAAGGATATAAAGTAGAAAAGGAGAATTAAAAAAATGATACAAACATCACATTATGGCCCTGTATCGCATTTAAGGATAAATTTGTCAAAATGTACCTCCATTGAAGAATGAGCTCAATATCGAGCTCGCGGTCAAGTTCCTCAATATGTATGTCATCATCAACAATTGCACGAGTAGGATCAGACTTAAGCAACGAAGCATACAAAGAGATGTATCTCTTGCGTAAGTTTGCAAACTTCAGAACCTGCTCCCATGTCATTTTTCCACTGCAACATACCAAAGAATATAATGTAGAAAAGTAGAAGAATTAACAGCCTCAAAGACAACAATTAAGAATCTAAAAAGAAATAAACTAAAGAAAAAAAAATAACAGGGATGGAGGAGGGGGAGAAGAAAGAAGAAAGAAGACGGCCGTAGGATTATTTAGGATAAGAAAATGGAGAACATTTTAAGTAAGAATCCAAAATATTGGATCCAACAAACAACAAAAAGTGGAAGATATGGATTTATCCCCAACCATCATCTACAAATTTAAGAAAATGACAACCAAATCGAAGCTCTCAAAACCTTGAATTAATTGATCCTTACGATGTCAATATAGAAATGGTGTAATCGATATAAATCCAATGACTTTGATAAATCATTCGGCGAAGGAATTTCATTGAAAATATTTGGAGGATCTAGAACAAATCATTTTCGTATCTAAGGAACACATACCCTCTTATCTTATCCTTAATTTCAATAATAGTTAGGAGAAACCACACAAATTCCTTTCAACTTCAATAAATGCCTTGCAGCAATCCAACATATTAAGTGTCGAAAAGAAAACTTACTAGACCACCAAAGTAATGGTCAATAACTTCAAAAGTACTATGTTTCCGCCCATTTCGTTGACAACGGAAGTGAAATGGCGAGGCAGAATGAGTTCCAGTTGCCAAATTTATGGCCATAAGTGTTCTTTATATTTTTCTGCATTTCTTGAAAATGTAGTGTTAAATAAGCGGTTACAACATTGGTGGATTGGAGAAGGCCTTCTGGACTCTTCAGGCAGTGGAGATCAAGAACACCTAAAGTTCGTACTGGTGAGATCCTTAATAAATTTGCAGAAAAGGGTTTGATTGTGCCAGTGAAGGAAGAACTTCAGGTCGGGGAAGAAATTTACAGCCCCCCTATTGTTCGTTCTGCTGCAATTATACTGGCCAAAGAAGAGGAGTTTTTTAATTGTGATTCCAGGGACAACCCAATTGGTAAATCTTTTGGCTGCTCATGATATTCCAATCTATGGCGACCTATCTGCACTTGTAACTTTTGAACCAACAGAGTTAAAGATTTCAGTTTTGGATAATGCGAATTTTCAGTTCTATTTGGTTTCAGCAGATTCACCTTTCACTTGACCAAATTTATTCAAAGCCTTCATACCTACCGATCTTCCACTTGACCAAATTTATTTAGAGCCTTCATACCTACCGATCTTTCCCCTTAAACAAATTTATTCGAAGCCTTCATATCTATCATTGACAAATTTATTCAAAGCCTTCATAGTTACCAATAACAAATTTATTTGAAACCTTCATAGCTACCGTTGATAAATTTATTCGAAGGCTTCATAGCTACCATTGACAAATTTATTTAAGTCCTTCATAGCTATCGTTGATATCATGCCTTGACACTAAAGCCATGTCGTCGAAGTAATGCAATCAATATTGCACATAAACCTATCCAAGTCTGAACTACGAATGATATCTATTACTTAGCTCAAGCGGGGTGTCAAAGGATATTTGTATAATCTCATATTAAATAAGGGAAGGAGTTGACCTCCCTAATTTATCTGGTTGGATTTATTTAGATTTAGTTGTCTAGTATCTAGGGATTATTATTTAGATTTATTGTTACCTAATAACTAGAGATTTTATTTAGATTTATCTAGGATACCTATTCTCTAAGGATTACCTACATTACCTAGTATCTAGGGAATTTAGATTATCTATTGATTTGACAAGAAAAAACCCAGCTAATTTAACTTGCAACTATGACAGCTACCTAGCAAAAACATCATGCTATATTTGTTGTTGTATACTGCTCAATTCAATGACTTTGACCACAAACTAGCAGCACAGAATATTTACTCAAACAGAGAAAAATAGAACATGTCACCCAGTGTTTCTATACATGTAACTCAAATAAAAGTATGATTAGAATACCGTTTCTACTTAACCTGACTAAGCATCACCTAACTCAAATCAGAACTGTATACTAAATGTTTAAAACATACAAAAAAAAAAAAAAAAAA